AGAATCGCTTGAGCCTGGGAGGCGGAGGTTGCAGTAAGCCGAGATCGTGCCACTGCACTCCAGCCTGGGCAACAGAGCAAGACTCCATCTCAAAAAAAAAAAAAAAAGAAAAAAGAAAAAAAAAAGAAAAAGCTTTCTCTTGATTCTCTTCTTAAAAAACAAATAAAAAACCCTGAAAAACCTAGTTGTAATAAGATAACAACTTAGAATACTTACGTTTATATTTGATATTAAGTGGTTTTTAAAAACCACTATTTTCAATAAATAAGGCAATAACAAATTTCAGTGTACCTTTAAAGAAAATAAACCCTAAAGAATTTAGAATCATGATTTTTTTCAATATGTAACAGAAAATAAAAACAAGTCCATTTTGCTTAAAACTGACTTTAAACAAAAACTTCTAATCACATTGAAGAATATTTATGTTAACAAATAAGCTCCATTTTACTTTACCTGAGACTGATCTTGAGAAGGTGGGGTGAGCTGAGATACATCTGTGGTGGGAACTGACAGAACATTATTTGGATAATCCAACAGATAAGAAACTACATTAGTATGGCCACCCTTTGCAGCCTCAATGAGCATTGTTGAACCATCCTGAAAAAGAATTGCCATAGTAATTAATTCTTTATAGTTTCTTAGCAGCTCATATAAAATCAAAACTCATTTAAACTGTATTAAATATTAAGCACTAAGATCAAACATATTTTATAACTATACATGTATTTATTATATACATATATGTAAATAATACATGTATAGTTATAAAACACACATATATAATACATGTATATATAATATATGTATAGTTATAAAACACACACACATATACATATATGTGTGTGTGTGTGTTTTTTTAATAGACATGGGGTCTCCTTATGTTGCCCAGACTAGTCTCAAACTCCTGGGCTCAAGTGATCCACCCGCCACAGTCTTCCAAAGTGCTGGGACTATAGGCATAAGCCATCACATACGGCCTGTTTACTTATTTTAAAGTAGACTACCTTGAGTCGATGAGTAGGGTCAGCCCCATGAGCCAAGAGTAGCTCAACAACTGCCAAGTGGCCTCCTGCACATGCCAGTGACACTACTGTATGATCATTATTGGCTGTAGCCCTGTTAACATTGGCACCTTTGAAGAAAAATAAATAGCAATCTTAGCAAAGGTTGAAATCAAGCGAGTTTACAGTTAATATCATTTAAAAATTTTTTGTGAAGTATAATGTAGATACAAAAAAGTATACAAATTGTAAGTATATAGTTTGAATTTTTTTCACAAAATGAATACACACCTGTGTAACCAGCACCCAGAGCAAGAAACAGAACATTATCCACATACCAAAAGCCCCACCTTGTGTTCCCTTTCAGTCACTACCCAGCCTCCCAATGGTAACCACTACCCTGACTTCCAAACTGGTTTTAGTTTTTGAACTTTATATGAACGGAATCATACAATGTACTCTTTTGCGTCTGGCTTCTTTCACTCAATATTATATTTGTGAGATTCATCCACAATGTTGCATGAAGCTGTAGTTCGTTCATTCAATATCACTTTTAAAATGGAAAATCTAGAAGACTAAGATTAATAAATATATACAGGTTAATGTAAGCATCAAATAACACCACTGTATATAACTCAAAATGTTTCAAAGACATTTTTGATCTACTAGAAAGTGGCAATATAGCCAGGTCTCAAAGTAGAGAAAACAGATTTTTTTAAGCAATGTTTAAGAGATATATAATTCTTCATATTGTGTATTTTAAGAGTCGGGGGACCTGGATATGGAGAGAAGACAGAATATTATCCAGATATGTTATTTGAAAGGCAGGTTGTTCAATAGCTGTGTATAACATGACCTGAAAAATGTCTAAATGCAAAGTCTTTTCTTAGCTTCTTTTTTGATAAGTTATTTTTGACCCCTGGAAAAAATAACTTTAGTTCAGTTACCTTTAACAATTCCAAAAGATCTCAACTAGAAAGTTAAGACTATAGAAATATTCATTCTTCCTTCTTAATTCTACCTATCTTATTTAAGAGAAAAATAAGTCGGTGGGTAAAACTACTACTATCAGTTTGTCTAATTTTCAGAAAATATTCAGCTGAATCTAATCCTAACTTGCATAGAAGTCCCTTTTGGGAAAGGTAAAATACAGCAATAAACATCCTGAGATTAGCAACATGAAATTATTTTAGATGACAGGATTATTTTACCTGAAACGATATAATCAATGTGTTCCTATTCCTGACAAGCCTGATTATATTCTTAGCAGGTTGTTGTTGGGTATGATTAGGTATCCTCTTTAGTAAAGAAGCATAAGAGAACTCCAGAGGTTATCTGTCTATTTATTTCTGTGTGGTTGAGGTAAGCAGCTTTTACAGACTATATTACGTAAAGATACGCGTTACTTGGCAGCAAAAATGCAATATGAAGAAAATAAACCTAGTTTTATCCAATTCAGAAGAAAACAAGTACATTTAAAATGATAAAATCTGGCCAGGTGCGGTGGCTCATGCCTACAATCCCAGCACTTTGGGAGGCTGAGGCTGGCGGATCACCTGAAGTCAGGAGTTTGAGACCACCCTGGCCAACCATGGTAAAACCCTGTCTCTACTAAAAATACAAAATTACATGCATGCCTGTAATCCCAGCTAGTTGGGAGGCTGAGGCAAGAGAATCACTTGAACCCGGGAAGTGGAGGTTGCAGTGAGCTATGTTTACGCCATTGCACTCCAGCCTGGGCAAAAACAGTGAAACTCCTTCTCAAAAAAAATAAAACAAAATGATAAAATCTTACCCTGCATTTTTAATGTTACTACATGTCAGAAATCTACTAAAATATAAATATAATTTTTATCTTAACAACATAACACCACCTGAGTGAATCTTCCCTGTATTTTTATCATCCTATCCTAGGATGTTTCATTAGATGCCACAGTATCTCTGACTCTATACAAAGAGTTAGGCTGAACCAAATGAAACTGCTGACGTTACCATTTTTGATTCATAACATGACAATTATATACGGTTGAACCTAACATTGGTTCCACAGCATTTTATTTTTCTGCAGTAAACAGTCTTAAGCTAATTCTTCATCCATCAGTTGTATTTTTTGCCTAAATATAATTCTAATAATAGAATTTCTAAAGAAATATAAAAATTATAATAAATAAGACCCTTACAAACTCAGTTCAACTGAACCACAAACAAGTACCACAGTAGCAGACTTCCTCTCTGTCCCCCACCCACATCTCCAGCAGAACAGACTTATCATTAGCTGTTGAATATCCACCTAATCATAGTGGGACATTTTACATTTGGCTTTTCTAAGTTGGGAGCAACCACATGTTGTTTGGTTAATGAAAACTTAAAATTCAAAACTAATAAAGAAAATTCCCGGTAAATAACTCACAAACTCTAAGCTTACTAAATAAAATACAACAACAGAAGGCAAGAATACAATACTTTACTGTAGGTAAAGTAGCCATAACATAAATTGCAACAGTTTAGGATTTTTTTTTCCCATAAACTGTAGCCTCTTGGAAATGATCACTTGCCCTTTCTTTACCTTTGCTAATAAGAAACTGCACAGTGCACAAATGACCAGCTCTTGCAGCTTTCATCAAAGGTGTTCTTCCACCTTCAGATTCATGTTCCTGTTAAAGAAATGGAAAAAATAATCCATCAATGCCAACGGTCTAACCATCTATTTTAAAAACAGTACTGATGAAATGAGAAACAATGAGGATTTAATATACTTACTCAATGTAGATACTTATACCACCTACTTCAATTCCCCCAATATACCGGATTTTTCAGTCCACACTAGATAATGTAACTTTCTAAGGGCAAGTTCAGTTTTGCATACCAAGTAATAACCACTAAAGATAATATTAATGTTTTGTTTGGTTCTCAAAGAGAAATCACTGCATTTTTCTAATTCTAAGTTTTAAAAAATGTTTCCTAACTATTTATCTGGACTGTGAAAAACAAACCTCAGTCCTGTGAAACGATTAGAAGAATCTTGATCTTATAGCAAAGCCAATAAAAGCTCTATCAAAGGATGCAAATGAGTCCCTGAAGAAAAACACTATGGTATTTTAGGAGTAACGGAAAAATGAAGAAGAAAAATATACCAATGGGTAGATTTTTTAAGTAGATATTAAATACTTGTATAGTCAAAGGCAAAAGATACAACTCCTCATAGCAGAAAGATTGTTCTTTCTAGGAAGTTCGCCAGCAAGAGGAATGAATGATAAACAGTTTTTAACTATGCATGCCTCACATCAAATGCCACTAAAAGGAGCTTGCTTATATGGTAATACTGTCTGTTGGGAGAATTATGAACTCATTAAATTCATGTAAGTATTAAAATGTAGCGTATATACTGCTTCTTTGAAAAGTTCTCTTACCTATCCCCTCTTTCACTATGTATGCAAACATGATTTTCTGTTGTTCTGGTTCTCTTTTGTTACTATGAAAAAACTGATAAAGAATGGTGATTAAAGCTTTATTTCAGCTATATTCTTCTAATTAACTCTGAAAATCCTATAATTACCACATGATCAATTTAAAATATGTGCTCTCCCAACAGAATACAATTTAGTCTATTTACATTTTAACTATCCTGATCTACAACTCAGACAAAATAACAATAAGAAATGAGTAGACTGTCAACCCAATGGAGACCTCACAGAAAATGATAGGAATTCCTCCCTTAAATAGGTTTAAAAAAAATCTTGATAGTGTAGTATCACTCAACCTACTAAAAAAATTACTTTATGTTTTGGCTTTTTAATTGTTATACATGTTAATTAAATAAGAATCTTTTAATTCTAGTTTATGGAAAAATGAATAACTACAGATAATGCCAAAATAATTTGGCTTTAGAATAGATCTTGAACTCACATTCAAACTTAGGTAAATCTAACATTCTGGCAATTTACTTCAAATAAAACTGAATATATATCACAAAGACCTTACTCGGAAAGGCCTAGAAAGTTGTTTGTCCAGGTTTTCTATCCAACTTATTTCTGAACTATCATTACAATCAACCACATCCTGGAAATAAATTGCCCATTTAGCAACTTATTTTTTCCCTTCCTGCCTCACAACTTTTTCGCACATACTGGTCTTTCTCTTTAATGCTTTCCCTCCACTAACTCATTTTCATCCTTTATATCTTAAGTAAAGTGTTATTTCCTCAAGGAAGACTTCCCTGAACTTCCTGACTAAATCACTCTTCCTATTATGGACATACATCTCTATGAATCTCTCCTTCATAAATTACAATCATATTTTAGTCTGTGTAAGTATTTTATTTAGCTAACCTGTCTCCTCCACTAAACGGTAAGCTCCATGAGAGCAATGATCGTCTTTTTTTGCTAGCCACTGTACACATAATGCTTAAACGATTGAGTGATTAAAAATTGTTTAATCATGCAGGAAACTAAGCATAACTGAACTCTCAAATCTTCCCTCTCATAGCATTGAGGTTTGAAGTTTTTATTGTTTTCTACTAGGTAAATAAGAGAAAGGAAAGTCAACTAAACAAGAAATTAAGAGTAGTAGTTAAACCTGAGAGTAAGACACTGATTATCTGCAACTGATATGTTATTATTAGAACATAGTCGGGTAATATTAATGTCTCTTATCCTTTCTTTATCCTTTTCTCTTTCTTATTTCTTAAGCCTGGCGGTGATCAACATAATTAGGTCACATCAACATAATTAGGTCCCGTGAGTAATGGCAAAGACAAATGATTTCAAAGCTTTCAGCCCTGATTTAGAGTAAACTTTAAAAAATAACTGTTTGGCCGGGCGCGGTGGCTCAAGCCTGTAATCCCAGCACTTTGGGAGGCCGAGACGGGCAGATCACGAGGTCACGAGATCGAGATCATCCTGGCTAACAGGGTGAAACCCCGTCTCTATTAAAAAATACAAAAAACTAGCCGGGCGAGGTGGCGGGTGCCTGTAGTCCCAGCTACTCGGGAGGCTGAGGCAGGAGAACGGCGGAAACCCGGGAGGCGGAGCTTGCAGTGAGCCAAGATCGAGCCACTGCACTCTAACCTGGGTGACAGAGCGAGACTCCTTCTCAAAAATAAATAAATAAATACATAAATAAAAAATAACTGTTAATTTTGTATATTTAAAATATTACCATAGTTGTTAAAAGACATGAAATCAGAAAGTACAGTCCCAATATCCTCACACCAAGTCAAGTTTCAAAATTCAACATATTAATATAATTCCTGAAATAAAAGGGGTGAAAAGCTACCTATTTTATTTTCCTCTCTATAAATATACATTCATTCTTTTAGTTTTGAATAACATAATCACATTTGAAAAAAGTTGATAAAACAATGCCACTACTCTATATTTACAACATTTTGTGTCTTAAAATGAATAATGTATATCCCACAACACACAATATTTGCCCCAAAATATCTGACTACTAAATCCTTCTTTTAAAATGGGAATCAGGTTACTCTGGGCACACTCCCTATGGGTTAGCCCTGCTCTGCAAGAAGCAGAAAAAAGAAAAAAAAAAATATATATATATCTATATATGTATATATGGAATATCCCCATTATATATATGTATATGTATAGGAATACATTGATTCCCGTTATATACATACAGTATACATATATATTCCCATTGGTCCCCATTATACACATACATATATATAATATATATTCCCATTGATTCCCATTATATACATACACATATGCATATACATACAAGTATATATATATATACACATATGTATGTATATAAGGGGAATATACATGTATAATAGGAATGCAGATATATAATGGGAACACATATATGTATCTAATGGGAATCAATAATGGGAATATATATGTACAATGTATGTATATACATATATGTGTGTATATCATGGGAAACAATGTATACATGTATATAATGGGAATCAAATTTGTATACATCGTACTATTTATGAACATTGGATTTAGTCATTCATATAGCCACTATTTGTTCAATACTAATAAAATTTCAGGATACAAATTGTTTCTGATTTTTTTCCCTTTATAAACACAGAAAATTATTTTCCAAGGCTACAAACTTAAATATCGTGCAATTTAACGTTTCTTTTTCTGTTCTTGAGAACAGCTAGAATAATATAGAAAGTATCTATTTCAGCTGGGCACGGTGGCTCATGCCTGTAATCCCAGCACTTTGGGAGGCCGAGGCAGGCGGATCACGAGGTCAGGAGATCGAGACCATCCTGGCTAACATGGTGAAACCCCATCTCTACTAAAAATACAAAAAATTAGCCGGGTGTGGTGGCAGGCGCCTGTAGTCCCAGCTACTTGGGAGGCTGAGGCAGAATTGCTTGAACCCAGTGGGTGGAGGTTGCAGTGAGCTAAGATCACGCCACTGCACTCCAGCCTGGGTGCTCATGCCTTTAATCCCAGCACTTTAGGAGGCTGAGGCAGGTGGATCACCTGAGGTCGGGAGTTCGAGACCAGCCTGACCAACGTGGAGAAACCCCATCTCTACTCTAAAAATACAAAATTAGCTGGGCAAGGTGGTGCATGCCTGTAATCCCAGCTACTCGGGAGGCTGAGGCAGGAGAATCGTTTGAACCTCGGAGGTGAATGTTGCGGTGAGCAAAAATTGCGCCATTACACTCCAGCCTGGGCAACAAGAGTGGAACTCTGTCTCAAAAACAAAACAAACAAACAAAAAAGAAAAAACCCTGAACATTTGGTAAAATTCACCCATAAATCCATTTGAACCTCTTACCTTCTATAGATGAGTAATTTTAAACTACTGATTCAATTTGTAATACATGGTTTCCTATTCTTAGAGTCAATTTTGATAATTTATATATTTCTAGCAAAAATTAGTATTCATTTCATCTGAGCATTCACATTTATTGACTGAATTTTAAAGATCTCTTATAATTCACTTTTAAGTTTGTTATCTGTGCCTTTTCCCCTAAAAAAATTAAATAAATATAAATAAATAAATAAATAAATAAATAAATAAAAAGCCTGGCTTGTTTTATCTGTTTTGGTAATCTTTTTTTAAAAACCAGCTTTTAATTTCACTCTTCATCCCTATATTTTCTTTTGTATCTCTTTTTAAAATTATTTTCTATTGTGTTAACTTTTGCTTTTATATTTTTTTCCCTAGATTTGGGCAACACCTCATTCTATACCATAGAATATCATGTACCATAGAATACCATATATGATAGAATGAGGTGTTCTGCTTTTATTATTTTCTTCTTCCTTTGTGCTGTTGTTTTAAAATTTATTTTCATCTTTAATATACTGATATACAGAACTACAATTTTCCTTCTAAGGACAACTTCAGGTATGTTCTCCCTTCTCAAGTTTTGGTGTGCACTGGTAACTCAGTTTCTACCGTGTAATTTTTACTGGTATTGCCTCTTAACCCCATGAATTTTGTAAAAGTATTTTCCTGGCTGGGCATGGTGGCTCACGCCTGTAATCCCAGCACTTTGGGAGGCCGAGGTGGGTGGATCACAAGGTCAGGAGTTCAAGACCAGCCTGGCCAACGTGGTGAAACCCCATCTCTACTAAAAATACAAAAATTACCCAGGCGTGGTGACAGACACCTGTAGTCCCAGCTACTTGGGAGGCTGAGGCAGAATTGCTTG